GGCATTCGATTTCAAAGCATTTCAAAGCATTTTAGAGGCATATTTTGGACATTTTAAGGCGTATGATCATAAAACTTTGTCAGTTGATGCATCTTGGGTCTTCGAAAAGCGTCAACTGAAAAGTAGGTCAATGTGACCTACTTTTCAATTTATATGACTATAATTAAATATTTCAGGTACTTATTGGCTTAGAATCATCAAACTTTGTCAGTTGATGCATCATGGGTCCTCAGAGAAGGTTGACTGAAAAATAGGTCACCATGATTTACTTTTCAATTTATATGACCATAATTAAATATTTCGGGTACTAATTGGCTTAGAATCATCAAACTTAGTTGATGCATCTTAGGTCCTCAGAGAATGACAAGTTATAAGTAGGTCACCATGACCTACTCTCAGGTACTAATTGGCTTAGAATGATCTTGGGTTCTCAGAGTGGGTCATGATGACCTACCTTTGGAATTTCAGGGCTTTATCTAAATGTACAGGATACTTAGAGGCTTCAAATAGAAGTGATAGGTTGTACAGTTTATCAGAAGAGCGATTCAAGACCCTTGGGCCTATTGTTTGAAATTGATTTTTATTACTTAAAAAAAGAGGGAGATGACTCTGCAACAAAGGTCAAGGTCATAAATTAGGACACGTTCCATTCTTACATGCTAATAGTAATAAATGGGAATTATGTCTAAATATACTGAGTATTCCACCCGTACAGATCTATTATGTATTCAAATTCATTGAATCTGAGGATATTAGGAATGGAATGAAATACCTTAAATAAAAACACACTTCAAAATTTGAAAATGCTTCAAATAGTTTTTTACATACATTAATTTTGTTTAAAAACAAAATACACAATTGTAAAATAAATATGTGTACAAGTAAACAGGTACAGGCATGTAAATCTGAATGTCTGATATTATTAAAAAAAAAAATAATAAAAAAAATAAAAAAAAACATGCTGTGTCGATCAACATGATCTATTGATGATAGTATGTAAAATGAATTTCTGTAAATAAATTAATTGTTTATGGCATCGTAGTTGCTAAAACTTTCATAATTAATACTGTATCACTATTTTTGAATCAAAATTTGCATTGTTTGAATTAGGGGTCTTCGAACTAATATCATTGTCGGTGAACTCAAGTTTAACAACAACCGCTTTCATGGTGAAGCTATAACTCAATCATTTTTATTAAACGGAAAACAAAATTATAGTAAAGTTGATGTTAAAATCATTGTTTATTTAATTCTTGAATTATGTGTACCTTGTCTGGCTTTTCAACAGTGATCTAGATAGCGACAACCAATTACAATGTTGCCGCTTCACTGACCACATGCACTTGTGTATATATATATTGAGATAAATTACACTTTGAAATGGACTTTTGTTATGAAAACAGGGGGCAGATGGCATTATGCAAATTTCGCATTATAAAGAGAATTTTATACAGCAGGAAAAATGTTCTTGAGAAATCATGGCGTTATTGCGATAATGGCGATGAATCGAATGGCGATGATTCAAGAATTGACTGTATTCTAATTATCCAGGCCCCAGTCCCCTTCTGATTTCAACCATGATTCATTTGCTTATTTACATTATGATTTGATTTAAGATTATTAAATAAAATAAATTAACAAAGTTCTGTAATTTTAAATTTGTGAATTAAATAGGTAAGTATGTGTGATAAGATGACAAATTAAATAATTAATATATTGTGCAGGTGAGTTTCTTTGTCTTTGCTGCATCCCCTACTATATCACTGTTACCAGGTTATTTTGGCATGCTTACAGATTTTTAAGATTTTTTCTTGTTGACAGTTCAAACATAAAAGCTTGAATATTCAACCTCATACTGACAAAATCAGTGATATAGTCATCCATAGCACAGAAAAACCAGATTGTATCAAATACATTTTAGTAAGATTAATACAGTCTGTACATAATCCAGACAGAAAGTACAGGCGCAGATCCAGGATTTTTTTCCGGGGGGGGAGGGGGGGGGGGGGGGTTCCATCCCATTCAAAAAAAAAAAAAAATTCTAACCCAAAAATTTCTTGACAAGGAAAAAAAAAAAAAAAAAACTAAATTGCCATCCCAAACAATCCATTTTCCAAACATGAAAAAACGGTCAAATCCATTTTCCAAACATGAAAAACACCTGTTTCATTGTGATGGTGGGGTCCACGTTTTCTTGGGGGGGGGGGGGGGGTCCAAAGTCATTTTTTATTTGCTTCAGTATATACTTTTTATAACTCTGCAAATCCCCCCCTCTAGATCCGTGGATGAAGTAGTTATAGCTTTGTAGATTTTCTTAGCATCCTTCTTGTGCACCCCAGGGCTGTCGATCAAGTAAATGAAAATGTTGGGGTAATTGACACATCAGGCCACATTTTCATGTTGTTCTCCCATTTTCCCTTCTCAGTCTCATACGGCCACTGGTTTAAATTCAAAAAGAGATTTAAATGTTTCATATATTATTTGCACAAGCACATATTTGATGTAATCCATCAGCAAAAAGTTAAAGTTGATATCATTTTTACTAGCAAGCTACTAATTAAAAGTTAGGGCATGCAAATTTAAGAAATATATGTGTAGTATTTTTTTTTATTAACAGAAGATGAGAATTGCTTGGAGATACAAGAGTGCTGGAATGAAGCCAAAATTGTTGTTTCTTACAAGGAGAAAATTCAGCAAATAATTCTATCAGACATACAACCCCATTTTTTGCAGTTCTTGGTACAGAAACAAGTAGAGACACTAAACCAGAACTTTAAAGAACATGGATTTGTTGTTGATGGCAAAAATTCCAAAAAATGGCTATCAGTTTACTGTTTGATTGATTTTAACTTGGAAGAATTTGAGAAAAAAATGACAGGAATAATTTCCTCTGCAAGCTTCCATGTTAACTCAAAGTCCTTGCAGATTGAGGAATCTATGTGGCCTTTTATTCAGAAAGAATTCTGCAAGACTGCAAAGCAGTTTTTGGAAACAGGAAGTGTACAGATTATAAAGAAAACCAAAGATATTTACCTTGTGGTTGGATTTAGGAATGAAGTAGAAAGAAATAATTTATTGTTAAAAAAAATCTGTGGAGGAGTTTTAGTTGAGAAAGTGGAAAATATGGAACTTTTTGAGACTTTGCAGCTGGAAGAACTTTTGCAGTCAGAGTACAAAAGTGTTGAAATACAAGTTCAGAAAAAACAATCACAGTTAATATTAAGGGGACTGAAAAAAGACATTTTGGACTGTCAAAAGTTCTACCAAAGATGGTCAGACTTAAAACGTCTGTGCTCAGCATGTTCTGAAGTGTCAGAGAATATGCATACATTTTTAGCATCTGGAAAAGTAAGACAGGGAATTAATGAATTGCTGAAAGAGAGAGGTTTTCATGTTTATTGGGCAACAAGCAATATTGAGGGATCAGGTTGTACTTTAACATGTTATGGAATGCAAGATAAAAATGTTGAAGAAGCTCATCATTTTCTCTCGAAAGAAGTGCTTAAAGAAGTTGAAATTGAGAAGAGCCTCTTACAAGATAATATGCTAAGAGTAAGCAGTGAAAATTCTGCTACCTTTGAAAAAGATGGAAAAATTATTCTTGTGTATTATGGTAGTATTCCTACTGCAACAACTGAGGAAATTGGTAAAAGAAGAGCCCAGATCCTTGAAAAACCTTTCCCTGAAACTGAAAACACTGAGGTAGGAGGAGCAGAGCAAATAAAACCGAATTGCTTAAGAAAAGTTCTTCTCCCATTTGCAACTGGAATAAAGAATTATTTAAAGGAAAAGCTTAGTGATGAGTTAGCCACAATACAGCAAGACTGTGCTGTCTGCATGTCAGTAGGTGAAGGAGAATGTCTCGTGTTGAGTTCATTGTCTGATGATGCTCTCTGTAAAGCCAAAAAAGAATTGGTTAACTTGGTGAGGAATATTGCACACAAAAAGGAAGTTATTAAAATTAGAAGAGGCATGTCTGGGGAAATCATGAGAAAATGTATTGCAAAGATAGAGCTCAATGGTCCTTGCTCTATTTCACTGTCGAGAAGTGAAGCTGAAGAACCACAGTATTACAAGTGCTGGAATAATTACCAAGGAATTACTGTAGTGATTGCTGAGGGAAATGTGGAGAACTCTGTTACTGATGTGTTGGTCTGTTTTATAGATCAGAATTGTGAACCAGTGGGAGAATCATCAGTGCAAATATTTCAAAAAGGTAGGTTAGTGCTGAGAGTGATTTTAGATGAAGAGAGTTTTTCTAATTCATTTGCATCAATGCATCCCTGTTTGCTATGTATTAATTCACCCATTAAAAATTATGTGTTTGACCTTTTCCAGTATTATTTATGTTTCAAATTCATGCTTTTTTAAAATCATATAATTGAATTACACATACAGTCAAACCTCGTTATCTGGAACTCGATGGGACCAAGAAAAAGCTTTGAGATATCTGAGGGTTTGAGATATCGAGGGTAAAATTCTTCTGAAGTAATTATGGTTAGGACTTCCCAATCACTTTGACATATCCATGGTATTCGAGATATCAGTGCTCAAGATACCGAAGTTCTACTGTATTTGTATTTTTTATAACAGGAGGATGGACTGAACTGGAAAATGCTGCCAAATGTCACAAAAAAGATAATCGGAACATTTTCCCAGGAGCAGAATCTTCTACATGCAACATGCATTTGACATCCACTACAGCAACACTGAATTGCAAAAGAATTTTATTTGTCTACTCCAAAGAATTGGAGAAAAATATGGAAATCATATGGGACACCTTATGTGTTGAAGTAAAAAAGAATCATTGGAGAAGTGTTTGTTTTCCTGTTGATGATAATCAAATTGCTAATGCGATTGTTCAGAATCTTTCTGCTTCAACAGGTCCTACAAAGAAATCTAAAAATGGACTTGAAATAGTTCTTTGCCTGCAGAAAAGCAAAATAGAAAACAGAACACAGCTAGAGAGTATTTGCCAGAAAGGCTTAAAAACATTTTTCCCCATCACTTTTTTTTGGGAGGAAGTGCAGAAGGATTTTAATGAATCACCTGAAAGTAAGTATATTTTAATTAATCATTTTACCTGTAAACTTTTGACACTGGTTTAGGGGAGAATTGTTCCCTGACCAACTTGACTTTGGGAAAAATTTTGCATAGTGACATTTTTTTAAGACTAGGCACACAAGTAGACTATACAAAGATACATAATTCAGTGTATCGGTTTATGATTTCACTGAACAGTGTTGCCATAGTAACAAAAAATAGAAATTTCTTTGAAATTCTTTCAAAATGATACTCCTCCTACAGTTTTGGTCAAATTTCAATAAGACTTGTTACACAAGTAGACTATACCAAGATACATTCTTTGTATCAGTTTTTGATTTCAACAAACCAAGTTGCCATAGACTTACTAAAAATAGAAGTTTTTAAAAAAATTCCTTCAAAACACTACTCCTACAGTTTTGGTCTGATTAGGCTTTTACACAAGTAGAATAAGTAAGATACTCTTTTTATTATGCCCCCGTAATCGAAGATTCAAGGGTATATAGTTTTTGCCCTGTCCGCCCGTCTGTCTGTGTGTTTGTCTGTTTGCCTGTTTATCTGTCCACAAAAACTTTAACATTGCCCATAACTTTTGATTGGTTAGAGCTATGGCCTTCATATTTCACCTGTGTATTCATTGTGACAAGACCTTCCTTTGGATACCAACATATTTGACCTCTTGACCTTAACCTTGGAGTTTGACCCACTTTTGCAAAAAATTACCCAACTTTAACCTTGGCCGTAACTTTTGAAGAATTGGTGCTAGGCTTTCATATTTCACAAGTATATTCATCGAGACAAGACCTTTCCATGGGTGTAAATATTTTTGACCTTTTGACCTTGACCTTACAGTTTGACCTACTTTTAAAAACTTTAACCTTGGCCATAACTTTTGAACAGTTTATACAAGGGCTTTCAAATTTCACAGTTATATTCCTTGTGATAAGACCTTCCTTTGGATACCAACAATTTTGACCTTTTGACCTTGACATTGGAGTTTGACCTACTTTTGAAAAACTTGAACCTTCGCCATAACTATGAACAGTTGTTGCTAGGGCTTTTATATTTTGCATGTGTATTTCTTATTACAAGGTCTCCCCCTGTGTACCATTAATTTTTACCCTTAGACCTTGACCTTAGAGTTTGACCCACTTTTAAAAAACATTATCTTTGACCATAACTTTTGAATGGTCAATGCTTGGGCCTTCATTATTTTCCAGGTATATCCATTGACACAAATCCTTTCTTTGGGTAACAACATTTTTGATCTCTTGACCTTGGAGTTTGACTTGCATTTGAGAAACTTGAACCTTCACCATAAGCTGCAATATGGGGGCATCAGTGTTTCACAAACACATCTTGTCTTTATTATAAATACACACCAGTAGAGCATCACTCTCACCAGAGACTTCTGGTTTGATTTATCTATAAGAATGTCATGACTCACTAAATTCAAAAAGGTTGTGCCTATGAGATTACCTCGATCCATGCAACCAAGCATCTGTTGGTTTAGTGAGTGCTGTTTGACAAGATTGAAATTCTCTAAACCCAGGTAGAGTATGTAGCTAGATCAAAAGTTGAGGTAAAATCTCGCATTTGGTTTGCTATGTGCGTTTCAATTATTTTGGATAATGATGGTAGTATAGAAATGGGACAGTAGTTACTGGGGTCTGCTTTGTTGCCCTTTTTGTGTGGCCTGCAGAGCAGCACTAAGGGATCACTTTACCTGGTGTCTGTCTGTCTGCCTGTCTGTCTGTCCATCTGTCACCTTGTATCTCAAGATCTGTAAGAGATATGGACTTGATATTTTGAACATATATTGCTTGGCACTATGGCTTTTGTGAATTGCCATGGTAACAGACCTCACGACCTATCCCTTTAACCTTTGACCTACTTTACAAAAAAGTGAATAGTGCCAATATGAAGCAAATTTTTGACATTTAAGAGGTAAGTCTATGCTATTTAGCATGTGCACTGATTGTCTTAAAACTTCCTGAAAAATACCAGCGTTACAATTCACTGACCTTGACCTTTGACCTACCTTGCAAAAAATACCCTGGACAGTTTAATTTTAACTAAAGTCTTTTGAATTTTAAGAGGCGGGGTGATGATATTTAGCATTTATTCATGTTTATGACCTCATGATACTGAACTTTAAAACTGTATGATATTCAGTTACCACATAAAATGATATTTAATACTAGTCTATGAAAATACATCAGGATCAGTATCCCACAATGGATCGTGTAGACTGACAATTGGTATAAAGTCTTTGAAACACTTATTAATACATGTAAAATGATAAATAATTATTTATAATAAATTCAATTTAATTATTAGTCCCCTACCAGTGAAACCAGAGGGGACTATAGGTTTCTTCTGAGTCTGTCCGTCAGTCTGTCTGTCTGTCAGTCTGTCCCACCTGGTTTTCCGCACTTTTTTTCTAAACGCTTGTAGATATTGAGCTGATTTTTGGTATGTGAGTTACAGATCAAGTTTGCATTTCGTTCCTCTTCAATGATTTTTGACGGAATTACAACCTTTTCAATTTTTCAGGGTTTTCCGCACTTTTTTTCTAAACTCTTGCAGATATTGAGCTGATTTTTGGTATGTGACTTAACCTTGATTTAAGTTATAGATCAAGTTTGCATTTCATTCCACTTCATTGATTTTAGATGGAATTATGGCATTTTCAATTTTTAACGGGAACCAGGTTACACTTGCCGGTAGGGTATAAGTATTGCTAATGCAATACTCTCAGAATGCTTGTTCTGCATGCACTTATAATCATGCTAGTGGTAAATAAATAGCTAACTATACTTAGATTTACTTACATCTTTAATGAAGCTACAAAGCAGGTGACACATGCGTTCCTTGGAACTACACTCTAGTTGTATACAGGAGAGACTTTTGCTTGATTCAGCATACTCAGCTTCAGTGGAAAATTCCATTACTGATGCTAGCATTAACTTGTTAAATGAATGACTGATTTGCCAATAATACTCGGGGATAGTTTTAGCAGACAAGGTCCAATAAAGTCAATGCCTGCCTATTTATATATTTACATCAAGCCCATTCACATATCAAATACTTCAATCTGGCATTTAGGTGTAAAGCTAATAAAGTGTTCATCACCAAGTTTAGATTTTTGTAAATTGTCTTAACAATTCTAGGTCAAATCCACAGTTTGGCAGATTATGTAAAAGTTTACTTGAAATTCCTGTGAAGTGCTCATTAAAAATGTAAGCAGTTTCTTGTGAATTGTTTAAGTTTCTGATTCATTATGAATTAATAGGTAAGAGCAAAATTTTTAGAATTATTTAGATGCCAATTGATTTAGATATCCCAACATTTCTCTGGGGTTTGAATGTCCTTGATGACTGATCTGTAATACAGAGTTTTTGCATTGTCAATCAAAAGTACAACTTTATTTCTCCATGCTCAGAAATTTTCACAATACCCCTGATAGAGGTAAAAATCTCATGTCTACCTTCATTAATTTCTTTAGTTAGCCATATTGGTTGAGTTTCACTTTTAACTCTTTTATTTTAATGTTGGCATGCCTGTCAAGGACATTATTAAACATTTTATAGAAAGTATCAGCATTTCTTGAATTCAATGGTCTTTATAATGATCTTGTTAGCAAATAAATTTAGCTAGCTGTCATTGGGTCATATTTTCACTGACATTATTAGCTCTTCTGAGCCAAAGGCTCAAAGAGCTAATGCTATGGCCATTTGTGCTGTGTGTGGCGTGCAGTGTGCATAACTTTTTTAGAATATGGGCCATAACTCAAGAACCCCTTGGCCAATTATTGTCAAATTTGTCACAGGGTATCCTTGACCCAAAGGCCCACGCTTATACTAAAACTGGGGTTTTGACCCTTAAACAAGGGGAGATAATTAGGAAAATAGAAACAAAAGTACTGGTTGCTAAAAAATCTTCTTCTCAAGAACCACTGGGCAGATTATCACCAAACTTGCACAAAAGGATGAGGATATGTCGAAGATTAAAAATTGTTCAAGGCATCACCCTTGGGCAAAGGGCGTGGTGTCAAGGTCATTTCAAAGTTGACCAAAAAATACATTTTATTAAAATGTTGATATTTTGCTTACTATAAAGACTAGGATCATCAAATCTTGTCAGTTGATGCATCTAAGGACCTCATATCATGTCGACTCAAAAGTAGGTCATGGTGACCTACTTTTTAAATTTTGTGGTCATTCTTTTTCAAAATGATTTAGAGGCATATTTTGAACAATTGAAGGCATATGATCATCAAACTTTGTCAGTTGATGTATCTTGGGTCCTCAGAGTACGTCAACTAAAACGTAGGTCACCTTGACCTACTTTTTGAATTTTATGGCTAATCTTTTTCAAAACAACTAAGGTCATTAATTTGAATACTGAGAGGTTTAGAATCATTAAATCCTGTAAGATGATGCATCTTGGGGCCATAAAACATATTTATTCAAAAGTAGGTCACAGTGACCTACTTTTTTTAACTGCAGGCATTCGATTTTAAAGAGTCATTTTAAGGCCTATGATCATGAAACTTTGTAAGTTGATGCATCTTGGGTCCTCAAAAAATGTCAACTGAAAAGTAGGTCACCGTGACCTACTTTTGAAATTTTATGGCTATATTTAAATATTTAGGGTACTATTTGGCTTAGAATCATCAAAATTTGTCAGTTGATGTATCTTGGATCCTCAGAGTAGGTCGACTGAAAAGTACCGTATTTGGCCGAATATAATACGCATTGGTGTAAAATATGCACCCCCCCTTTTTGAGCCTGAAACTGGGGGAAAAACGCAGTTCGGTTGTATTATACACAGCAGAAGATTTTGCCAAGCGGTGTTCTGAACTTTTGAAAATCGCGGTAATTTGCTATGAAAATCGGTGGGGAGATAAAGTGCCGAAAATTTACAGAACATGATATTTTATTCAAATGCGTTTTTATTTCTTAATGTTGACTTTCCATAACGCGGCAATCTGGAGGAAATTATTTATTTTTAACAAAGCATGAGATAATGTTGCATTAAAGTATTAACAGAGTTTATTATTATTATTATTTATTTTAGCATACTGTGATATTGAAATTATACGTCGCCGTATTCTAACTATTCTTTGTGGAAACAATTTTATTTCAACAAAACACGAGATATTGTTGCAAGTTTAACAGTTGTCATAATTATTTTTAGTTTAAGGTAATCATGTTGAAAATTATGTAAATTTAACAGGGCAAGTGATATTGCAGTATCGAAGTACTCATAGACTACAATTTTCCTCTTTTGAACTTGAAATTAATTAAATAAATAGCTGATGTTATGAAAATAAAATCAAAATTTAACAAGAGTGTAAAGTATAGTTATCAACACACCTCCAAAGCTGTGAAAAATGATTTACAAATGTAAGATATTTGTCTTTATACATCAAGGTAATCTTCGTGGATATCTTATTTTCTACAGAGCACGAGTAAATGATAACACTTAAGTTTCAACATACTTCATATTTCCTTTTTTAACTCTTAATCATTTAAACATGAGGCCGATATAAGATAAAGTAAAATTACATTTAACAAACGTTTAACTGTTTAATGTGTCGTAATCAACACACGCTTATACATACGAAAGATCATAAACCAACCCCCCATTTTTTAACAAAGAAAATAATCAAAGTAATTAATAAGGGCAGTAAATGATCAGTGCTCTAACTGTAAAAACAATGCTTTGGAGTCGGTAAACAATTTAATTGCCTGGAGGGGTGTTGAGAGATAATTATCAAGTGACAGTGAGCACACCTGTTCACAACATTGGCTTCCAATCATTGAGACGTATAGAGGGGTGTTTATGTTGAAATGAATTTTCACTGAGTTATTTAAAACCTAAAATAAATTTTATTTTATTGTATTTCATTAAAAAAAAACAACTTTTTACTTTTTTGACCGAATGTCTGACTGATTAGGTACATGTGTACTATGATTACGGAAGCACATGGCAAAGGAATGTGTGAACATCTATAAATAACATCGTTAATGGTGGTCTACACGGAGACAATGAATATGCAGCTCAAATTAATTTTAACTTGCTTTTTAATTTAATTTAACTATCAAAAGGTTATAAATATAACATTTTTAACAAGCCTACGTTCCAACAATAACTTTCCGAAGTTTTAAATACGGTGATAAACAACAAGAAATTGCATAAGTCTTTAGGTAATACTACGGTATGTGCGTATGATAGCCGTGTTTCACCTGAAAGGAAAACCTATCAAAATCCCATTGTGGTGTAAAATACGCACCCCTTTCTCAAAGAAAATTATTTAGGAAAAAAGTGCGTATTATATTCAGCCAAATACGGTAGGTCACCGTGACCTACTTTTCAATTTATGTGACTATAATTAAATATTTTCGGTATTAATTGGCTTAGAATCCTCAAACTTTGTCAGTTGATGCATCTTAGGTCTTCGGAGTAAGTCAAATGAAAAGTAGGTCACCATGACCTACTTTTCAATTTATATGACTATAATTAAATATTTCGGGTACTAATTGGCTTAGAATCTTCAAACTTTGTCAGTTGATGCATCTTGGGTCTTCGGAGTAAGTTGACTGAAAAGTAGGTCACCGTGACCTCATTTTGAAATTTTATGGCTTTGGCTTACAATCATCAAAATTTGTCAGTTGATGTATCATGGGTCCTAGGAGTAGGTCTACTGAAAAGTAGGTGTGACTTACTTTTGAAAATTTATGGCTTTAATTAAATATTTCAGGTACTAATTGGCTTAGAATCATCAAACTTTGTCAGTTGATGCGTCTTAGGTCCTCAAAGTACAACAACTGAAAAGTAGGTCACCTTGACTTACTTTTGAAATTTTATTGCTTTATTTAAATATTTTTGGGTACTAATTGGCTTAGAATCACCAAACTTTGTCAGTTAATGCATCTTAGGTCCTCAAAGTCTGTCATCTGAAAAGAAGGTCACTGTGACCTACTTTTGAAATTTTATGGTTATATTTTATTTAAAAAAATATTTTAGGTATTAATTGGCTTAGAATCATCAAACTTAGTTGATGCATCTTTGGTCCTCAGAGAATGAAAAGTGATAAGTAGGTCATGATGTCCTACTCTCAGGTACTAAATGGCTTAGAATCATCTTGGGTTCTCAGAGTGTTTCATCTAAAATGTAGGTCATGATGACCTACCTTTGGAATTTCAAGGCTTTATCTAAATATACAGGATACTTAGAGGCTTCAAATAGAAGTGATAGGTTGTACAGTTTATCAGAAGAGTGATTCAGGGCCCTTGGCCTCTTGTTTCATATCAATTGTCAGGCCTTTGTATTTATAGCAAATTTAACTGGAATTTTTCGTCTACCTAATCAATACATAAGGGCTCACGGCAGGTGTGACTGGTGAGGGGATGCTTACTCCTCTTGGGCACCTGATCCCACCAATGAAATTTCCAGGGGTGTATGTGTTTTATACCCTGTTCACAGATTTGTATTTTTTGAATTTTTTCAAAAATTGATCACTGTTCAATAATGACTTCACCTTTTTAGCTCACCTGAGCCAAAGGCTCAAGTGAGCTTTTCTGATCACTTTTTGTCTGGCGTCCGTCTGTCTAGCTGTCTGTCTGTCTGTAAACTTTTCACATTTTCAACTTCTTCTCAAGAACCACCGGGCCAATTTCAACCAAACTTGCCACTAAGTATCCTTGGGTGAAGGGGATTCAAGTTTGTTCAAATGAAGGCCATGCCCTCTTTCAAGGGGAGATAATAAAGAATTAGTGAAAAATTAATAGCATCTTTTAAAAATCTTCTTCTCAATAACCACAGGGCCAGGAAAGATGACACTCATGTGGAAGCATCCTCAGATAGTGTAGATTCAAGTTTGTTCAAACCATGACCCCTGGAGGTAGGGTGGGGCCACAATGAAGGATCAGAGTTTTACATAGAAATATATAGGAAAAATCTTTAAAAATCTTCTTCTTAAGAACAGCAAAGCCATGATGAGACATAGTTGTATGGAAGCATCCTCAGGTAGTGTAGATTTAAGTTTGTTTAAATCATGACCCCTGGGGGGTAGGACAGGGCCACAATGGAGGATCAAAGTTTTACATAGAAATATATAGGAAAAATCTTTAAAAATCTTCTTCTCAAAAACAGCAAAGCCATGATGAGTCATATTTATATGGAAGCATCCTCAGGTAGTGTAGATTCAAGTTTGTTCAAATCATGATCCCTGGGGGTAGGACAGGGCCACAATGGAGGATCAAAGTTTTACATAGAATCATATAGGAAAAATCTTTAAAAATCTTCTTCTCAAGAACAGCAAAGTCATGATGAGTCATATTTATATGGAAGCATCCTCAGGTAGTGGAGATTCAAGTTTGTTCAAATCATGATTCCTGGGGGTAGGACAGGGCCACAATGGAGGATGGAAGTTTTACATAGAAATATATAGGAAAAATCTTTAAAAGTCTTCTTCTCAAGAACAGCAAAGCCCTGGTGGTCATATTTATATGGAAGCATCCTCAGGTAGTGTAGATTCAAATTTACTCAAATCATGACTCCCGGGTGGGGCCACAATGGACGATCAAAGTTTTACATAGAAATATATAGGAAAAATTTCAAAAACCTTCTTCTCAAACTCGCAATAAAGCATCCTTGGGTAAAGGGGATTCAAGTTTGTTCAAATGAAGGGCCACACCTTGTTCAAAGGGGAGATAATTACATATTAGTGAAATATTACTGGCATCTTTAAAAACCTTCTTCTCAAGAACCTCTAGTTTAGGAAAGATGAAACACTTAAGTGGAAACATCCTCAGGTAGGGTAGATTTTAATTCACTCAAATCATGACCTCTGGGGGTAGAATGGGGCCACAATGGATAATCAAAGTCTTACATAGGAATACATAGGAAAAAAATCTATAAAAATCTTCTTCTCAAGAACAGCAAAGCCTTGGTTGGTTTTATTCATATTGAAGCATCTGCTTGGTTCAAGTTTGTTCAAATCATGACCCCCTGGGATAGGATGGGGCCACAATGGTCAATCAAACTTTTACATAGGAATATAAAGGGAAAATCTTTAAAACTCTTCCTTTTTAAGAACAGCAAAGCCATCATTGGACATATTTATATGGAAGCATCCTAAGGTAGTGTAGTTTCAAGTTTGTTCAAATCACAACCCCAAGGGTTATGGCAGGGCCACAATGGGCAATCAAACTTTTACATTAGAATACATACTAAAAATCTTTCAGCAAACCCTGATTGGTTATTTTTTAATGGAAGCATCCTCAGGTTATGTAGATTAAATTTTGTTAAAATCATGACTCCTATGTAGGGAGGGGCCACAATGGGCAATCAAAGTTTTACATGATATAACATTAGTACATTAATACAAAAGCCTCCTCAGGTAGCATAGATTCAAGTTTGTTTACCCCCCCCCCCCCCCCCCCCCCCCCCCCCCCCCCCCCCGGGCAAAAGTTGGGACCACTTATATATTTAAATACTGAACTCATTTCTGCTTTTTCCTAGCCAAAGTGCTCAAATGAGCAATGTGGCCCATGGGCCTCTAGTTTTGTATTGTTTTCTTTATCCAAGGACAAACTTAGGTAATGGAGGATCTGGTGATTAAACTAATTCTGCTTCTTCTTTATTTCCAAGGTTTGCAGTCTTCAATTGACATAAATACCACTGTGGGATCCATCTTGGATTTTGCCAACTCTGAAATGGTAATTCATATAATATGTTCCCCTTCTAAATGGGGAGGAGTCATATTAATTTGTTCAAGGTAGTCATTACATAATACTTTTCATTTATTGCACTCGTGCACAATTGGTATGCTGTGCAGATGGGATTATCATACTTTCGTTTTTAACCAGGGATGGCAGCGAATATTCAAACATTCGAATATTCATTCGATGAGTTGATATTCGAATATGAATTTAATATTCAAATATTCGGTGTTTTTCAGATTTCATAAAAAAGAAGTACTGTGATTAATAAATTTTGATTAGAACAGTGCTGGAATTATCCCTGTTTAATTTACTAGCGATCAATTTCGATCACCTGATTTCTTTCACTTATAGATATACTAAATTATTTTGCTTTGAGTAAGGTGTTAAAGGATTGTACAATAATGCTTTATGTATAATACAAAACGTACTTTCATAGTTTTTATTAGTTAAATACAATGGGATCTAGAATCAAGAACAACAAAGGGAAAACCTTAGAATGTCTAAAAGATGTGAAGAGTATACTTATCAAAACAAATTTAATTGGAATGAGTGTGCGATAGAATTAGTCTATGATTAATATTCTTTACTCCTCACTAAGATATTAACAGTGGTGAAGGAGAAACTTCAAGAGTACTGTGCAACAATATATTCGAGAAGTGGTGTAAATCAGATGTGGATACTTAAAAATTCCAAGGAACTTTTGGAAAATTTGAAATCGCAAAACTTTACCAAAATCAACAGCTTAAAAACTTATGACTTTTCTACTTTATACACAACCATTCCCCACGATAAATTAAAGTCCAGGCTTTTTGATATAATTGACAGCTGCTTTTTCAATAAAAATGGAACTCGTAAATATACTTACCTTGTCATTGGTCATTTGCAAAATTATTTTGTTAAAAAACATTCTGATTGTACACACAAGTACTCTGAAGTTGACATTAAAAAGATGCTTGAGTTTCTGATTGACAATATCTATGTGGTTTTTGGAGACCAGGTCTTCCAACAATCTATTGGAATTCCCATGGGTACCAATTGCGCCCCGTTATTAGCAGACCTTTTTTTGTATTCATATGAAGCAGAATTTGTCCAAAATCTTGTACGTGAAAAGAAGAAAACACTTGCTGTGGCCTTCAACTCGACATTTAGATTTATCGACGATGTATTGTCAATTAACAATGGCTATTTTCATTCTTATGTCGATACGATATATCCTGGTGAGCTTGAGATAAAAGATACCACAGAGTCTGACACATCTGTTTCATATTTGGATATTTTACTTAAAAAAAGACGTTAATGGTAATCTAACAACCAAGCTTTATGATAAACGTGATGACTTTAACTTTTCAATCGTCAACTTCCCTTACTTATGCAGCAATATACCTTCATCACCTGCATACGGGGTATATATCTCTCAGTTGATTCGATACGCAAGGGCATGCTCTACATATGAACAATTTCTTAAACGAGGTAAATTATTGACAAACAAGCTGATGAAACAAGAATATCAGCTGTCTCGTTTAAAGTCATCATTTCGTAAGTTCTATGGTCGATACAATGACCTTGTCAGCAAATACAATTTATCACTGAGTCAAATGCTGACTGATGTTTTTCATACTAATTGTTAGGCCATTATTTACACACTGAATTGTCGACGGATTTTTCCGTTATTTCCCGATCATGACAATGAGCACACGGCGGGTGTGACTGGTCGGCAGGGGATGCTCACTCCTCCATGGCACCTGATCCCACCTCTGATGTTTAGAGGTCCTTGTTTGCTCTGCTCCTATTTTGTATTGTTTAATGGACTTTTGGGCTTGAATACTGTTCGTTATCTCCATATATTTCATTGTAAAGGGCCCAATTTCAGAATAAATGTGTAAATCACTGCATTATCTCAGGTTGTACATAATCCTGAATTTTATATTCATTATCAGGAAATAAGTTAATAACCTAGGAAAAATTGTATATGGAAATATTTGTTTATTTTTTAAAAGCATTATATCAAAGATTATAATCATATCTCTTATTAGGCAGATAATTGTAATTTATTATACGTATTGAAATCTGAACAGTATACAACTATCTTGCCTTTGGTAAGACGACTGGTTCCTCAGTTGGAGCTACTATAAATACACGTTTCATTTGTTAAATTATACTTTTCTACATTGAAATCAATTATTAATTTCAAACAATGACAAATATCAAATGGAATTCCTTATTGTACACCTACATCAACTCTTTGCCCTGGGACCCCGGACAAACTTCATTCATTTTTTTCTGCGTGTGCTTCTCTTATTGAGAAGCACATGCAATGAAATTTAATTAGACAGATAATGTAAGCAGAAAGGAATCAGTTGACACTTCAAATGCACGTGTTACAAGTTGTTACAAGCTTTAATGTGATTGGTTGAGAGAAAAAACAGTCAAACTTTGTAATTTTCCTGAAAGACGTTGCTGCAGTCAGCCCATTCAATATCGAATGAAGTTTTCAATGGTCCCATGGTAACGAGTTGGAACTGGAACCTTGATGTTGTGAGGATGACAATATAAATTTTAAAAGACAACACAAACTATTAATGAGATATTTGGATTCTCAAGGCATAATTTTTGCATCTGTCACCGAGGTACAAGGCATCAGTAGATAAGGGGAACTAACTCTGACATTGCCCTAACCAAGAGACAAGGTGTCAGCCTATGTTTAGGCTTAATAACACCAAGATCAAATGTGCGTAGAGCTATAACTCGAAAGCAGCTAGACAGTTTTTTAAACAATTTATTATACCTATACTGTTATTACTCTGTATAAAATTAACACCATAAAACTGTCTATTTCCCTGAGAAGATACTATTTCCCCCATCTGAGGACTACTCCCTGAAAAATCAGAGCTACTCCCTGGGACTACTCCCTCATGACTATTTATTATTAATTTTAACCAATTAAAATGAACAGTGGGCGGAGCGTTCAATGAATCTCGAGTCCATGACGTAATGTTATTAGCAATTTAACTATGACGTCAAAACATTTCGACATGCGATGTCAAAATCATAATGGAATTTCTAAGCAAAAAGAGGACAACGATAATCCTTCACAATGTCAGTGAAATTATTGTTTTTTAAATAATTTTATTTTTTCCGTATTGATGCATTATATATTTAACAAAATTGGAATCGCATGCATTTTTGATTATTTATATAAATGCCTCTATATTGTTTTAAAAATGTCCAAGTCTCCAGTTAATAAATCTCCTTTGTTTGCTTCGGTATAATAAAACAGTTATGGAATGGGTACTTGGGAAATATCAAATTTATGGTTCCCCTCGGCAGAAAACTATTTCCCTCGGTGGCTTCGCCGCCTCGGGAAATAGTTTCCTCCCTTGGGGAACCATAAATTTGCTATTTCCCTCATACCCATTCCATAACTGTATATTATTAGGTTGCAATTTAGTTCAATAATTGTATCCTCAATGATCAAATAAAACAAAGCCCAAAACAAATAAATTGAAGTATGAGTTAGGAAATTTGAATTGATATATTAAAGAGAAAACAATAAAATAAACTTTAAAATAATAGAATCAATTTGGACTCGGCACTATACTTAGTCTACTGACAGACTGGTGGACAGTCTATGAGAGAGCCATTTTAAGACCCGAGTTAAGTAGCATAAGGATATTCAAATGTTCAAAACTAAGAAATAAATTTAGCCACCATACTACTTAGTCTATCGGCAGACTGGTGGACGGTCTCTTAGATAGCCAGTGTAATAGACATAAGAAGTACGTCGTAGAATGTTCTAACATATTCTGACTGTAGAATAAATTCCTAAAAGTATATTTCTAATGAAGGAGTTAAGTTATTATAGAGAGTAACTGATGATGACCACTCGGATAATTATTTAAGCTGAAATCGAGTGACCATATGCCATTAATTACAGATAATTATCTTAACAGATTGAGTCTTGTCAAATGTTTGTCATGGTATATGTTAGTTTACCATATATTTAATTAGTAGTAAATACACCGATTCTGCACTGTGCGATATGGGTGATGTCACAATACCCTATATCAAGGACCGGTCCGAAAATCCGTATCATGTATTGGACCGGTGGGCAAAAATCCGTATCAAACCCGAAGTAACATTTGTTTAAAGTTTAAAAGTTAATTAACTTGATTTTATTTAAATATACATGTAAAATCATTCTTTACTAACATCTGTGGACTTATGGGGCCACTTGGGCTGATATGAAATATGATATGGATTTTAGTATGTAATATTCTCTATATAATTAATTAATTTTCAAAGTCAAATCCTAAATATCAATTAAACTTTAAAGTCAAATCCTAAATAGTTACAAAAATATATTTACACGAAATAACACACTATGACACGTAAAAGACATTATATCTCTTTCTTATCATCTTTTTTTAGTCATACCAACCTCCAACATGTAAAAATCTGGTCATGACCAGATTTGGAAAATAAAAAATCTGGTCATAACGCGTAACGACATTCACAACACATTTACCATGATTAAATTAAATATATATGTATGCATATATAAGCATTTGTGTATTGAGAATTATTCTATTAAAAGGAGACTTTAACTAACAATGACAAAAATTTAATATATATTGATTAAATTTACATGTTAAAAGAGCATTGAAGGTTTCATTATTCAGTATTGAACTGAGTTAAGTGTGCATTTTTTTTAAACAGTTAAAGGAAAGTTTTTTCAGAATCTGATTTGAAGTACATGCTACTGGAAAGTTTGTGCTAATTAAAGGACAAGGTTCATTTGATATAATATTTGGCCCTGAGAATTTCTATTAAAAATTAAAGTTTATGCTGAATCCAAACTTTACATTGAAAATAAGGGTTGGATATATGCTTGTTAAAAAAATAAACCCAAAGTTTGAGAATGTGTCCCCTGTATACTTTTTATTCATGGTCAAATCATGCATGGAATGGGTATTTCCGGAAAAATTGTTAAAAAT